CTAACAAATTGGAAGCTTTGGTCCAATGCATATCCTAGCCTTCCTCGCGGAGAGCACCCATGCCATCTCATCCCTCGCACCACCTCTTCATCCATAGCTAAGTCTGCAGGGATGGGGGCGTAAGACTGGAACCTCTCATATAAAAACATCTGTAAGAAGAGGTTAGAGGCATAGGAGCCATGAACATAACAACCCACAGAGCGCACCATATCCTCTCCCATCATATCCAGCCGATGGTATAATGTACCCAAAAATAGGGGCGCAAGGGCCACTTTCACACCACTCACTAACTTCACTGCCAGTTTCAGGAGCCGCGGCAGGGGCGCATCCTCCGGGGTGCCCTCCAAAATGTATCTCGATAGCCAGCACAGCAAGTAAGCAGTGAGACTAGAAGAGTGATCAATCCAGGGACCTGGAAACCCTTTTCGCCCCTCCTTCGAGAGATTTTTCTTCAACATTGGAAAATCTCTAAAGTAGTAGCGCACCAAAGCGCCAAGAGTGGCTTTACGTGTACCCTTGCCTCGATCAGCATGACGGACACCCTGTGCGCCCCACAAGGTCTTAAAGTCTTTGGTCTTATCCATAGCCGCCTTCAATGGGCGAGAATCCCCAAGAGCCAGGATTCTCCACACCCTGAAAGGGTAAACCCAATAGTTGGCTTACATCCTCGATAGTAGGTGTAAATTCTCCCCATGCTGTGATAAAGGTGTATGAGCTCGAACTCCACCGCGAGGTCAACTCCCATAAACCTGTAGTGCCGCGAGGAATGTGTATTTGACAAAACAACTTAATGTAAGGCAATAAGCTCGTCGCTTCCAAAATCGCCTTATATGCAGGGTTAGCAAGAATCGCATCAGTCCACGATTCCCAACTATGGCCAGGGCTAATGTGACTGTTGAAATTCACATAAGACCATGGATATTGTCCTTGTTTGACACCAAATCTCAAAATGGTATCAGCAGGGATGCGAAGAGCGAGGCTAATCTCAACCTCCTCCTCCATCAACTCCACCACCTCCAGTGGTTCGCCGGCAACCACAACCTTGTTGGCCCGATGCCAAAACAGGTCCGTTTTCCCAAAGAATGGTGCTCGCTGCCATTCTGAATCTACTGGCACTTTAGGGGGAGGACAATCCTTTTTGGCCAGTTCTTGTTTCTTGCTAACCATGATGGGAATCCCACAAATCGAGTAAATACGAACGAAATAATAACTCCCTCACCTCGGGAACCCCAAAAATCAAAGACGCAACAGACGACACATTAATGATTGGAGGCAACCTTTCACGCTGGCGTCCCTTCAACCTCCTCGAAACAATAAATGACCTAGCCACCTAGTCTTGCACGCGTAATAATTCATTCTGAATCGTCGCACGTGCAGGGAGGCAAAATGTGGGTGTCACCTATTAGAAGCTGATGTGGCATGTTGACAAGTCAATACAACCCTAGCCAAATCCTCCATGGCAATTTGAAAAGTCAAAAGCCTCGAAAGATCAAACTTTGAGCACCCTAAGCCCTGGCATCGCTCCAGGCCTATTAAGCCTCGAAAGATCAAACTTCGAGCATTCAAAGCCTAGGCATCGCTCCAGGCCCAACAAGCCTTGAACGATCAAACTTCGAGTACTCAAAGCCCTGGCATCGCTCCAGGCCCAACAAGCCTCGAGAAGCCGATCCTCGAGCACCCTGAGCCCTAGCATCACACCAGGCCCATCAAGTCTCGAGAGACCAACTCTCGAATACCTCGAGTTCTAGTGTTACGCCAGACAATATCACTTTGCAAGACTGGAGCCCTAGGGGGCTCGCCATCCAGGGATTGCGTATAGCACGAGACGAAGGTAGGGTCTTTGTGGCTATAGGAATCTATGTTTGAGAAACTTAGGAGGATCTTGGATTGGTGGATGAGAAGTCAAGAGGTGCCTTCGCTCTCAGCAAGGCCCAATTAACAAGATGATGGGATTATACATGTCATGACAGCAAACCTTAAAATCACAATTAATGTTGTGTCAGGCTTGACCAACCGACGGCCAAACAACATTTAATGCCCTTGATTAAAGGAGAGGTGACATGGCAATATAAGACAAGGCTCGAGGAAAGGATTAGACCCTTCAGGCTCCTAAATCTCCAGGATTACTCACGTAATCCAGATTGGGAGTAATGCATGCAAGGAACCATGCACGGAAGGAACCATTGGATAATAACCAATGGAATCTAGATCTATAAATAGCACTGTCCTATGAAGGAATAACCAACCCCAGAAGAGTAAGCTGTCATAAGATATTGTATACTTGCCCTACCACCATCTTTATCTTGATAGTTGGTCTTCTTCTCCTCCTCCCACACTGAGCATCTCTTCTGTTTTTCCTTCGTATTTGTATTCCTGATATCACCATTATATTATTGTTTACCACTTAGTTAAAAAGAACCCCTACAACATCTTTACTATTATTTATCGAACACATCAATGAATTGTCATCATCAAAAAGGGAGAGATTGTTGACCTTAAATCTAAAGCTTTTGATGATTATAATTCATTAATGATGTTCTATGTGTTCTAATATCTACCTTGAGAAAATTACAGATCTAAACATTCATCAAGTCAAGACATTACATGTCAAAGCACAAATGAAAAGGAGCATCATGGAGATAAGGGAAAAGGCCACAAAAGGAATCAAGATCTAAAGAGAAGTCATAAAGATCTTATCAAATGGGGTAGCTAAGATGGTGAGCTTTTAGGAACCATTGTCAAAGTTTGTATGAACATTTTGAAGCTTAAATCTAGGATCATACATTAATCACTTCCATGATGATCAAGAAACATAAAGAATAAAAATCATCTATGAACTTAGAATGTATTCCTTGAAAGATAAGTTCCATTCCGGTCGACCGAAATGGAAGGACAACTTGAAACAGTCGACCAACCCTAACAGAGAGTTTGGAACAAAGCTTCTTTTATTTCAGCCTACCGAAATAAAAGACTAAATCATTTCGGTCTACCGAAATGAATTAATGAAAGATTACCTTTAGTTATTTCGGATGACCGAAATAAAGGAGCAAATGAATCGGACGAACCGATTCTAACAGAGAGTTTTGGATCAAAGGATGAAGGTATTTCGGACGACCGAAACAGAAGGGTAAATCATTTCAGTCTATCGAAATAAAGAGTGATAGCCAACCTTAAACTATTTCGGACAACCGAAACACAATGGTGTTTCATTTTGGTCGACCGAACCAGCGCAGATTCAAATTTTGAACAGCTATTTTACCTCGAACTGTGTGCCCAACAGCTAGAATACACATCAGATACATCTGAAACTCTATATAATGACTTGTGGTCTTCATAAAAAGGTATTGCAACCACTGAGAATTATATCCTTGCAATCATAGAACCTTTTTATCATCATTCACACACTTCATATCCTTAAAGAGTATTGACCTTCAATCTATTCATATATACTCTAGAGTGAGCTAAAATTTGTACTACAAATCTGAGAGAGATTAAATTGTACTTCATTTATCTTCTTTAAATCTTGTAAGGGCTGGTGTGGCCCAAGGAAGACTAAGAGATAGTGTTTATTTTAGCACTTTGAAGCAAAGAGGTGCTTCATGTAAAAGGTTTGCTCTCCACCCGTAAGGAGAAGCCATAGTGCATTGGGAAGTCTCAAGAGGGGTCTTGAGCCGAGGAGTAGGAGTTTCTGAATCTCGCTAAAATCGCTGAGTACTTGTTTGCAATCTCTCTCTTTATCTCAGAATTTCTATTAACAAACCCCCATTCTAGCGTACGGGATGTGTCACGACCCGACCCATGCTGTGTAGATACTATATGCTTTTACACAGTAAGGAGGCATCCACAATCACCCCCTCTAAGGACCCAACATCCTCGTTGGCCTGACCCTCATGAGCATGTGCATGTTTCCCCAATTTTCTGCTGGGGATTGGCTCTGATATAATCATGTTCACGGTTTTCAAAACACGTCTAAACAATTAAGAGGCACCCACACATACTGCCAACAACTTCTCTCCTCCAGGCGATGTGGGACGCCACAGGAAAAGTAACAGTAATCAATCTCCCAATGGAGTTTCTAAGATCTATTTTACCAAACACCAGAGCCTCCAAATCCAACCATTTTACCACAAAATGAAATCTTGGACAAGAAGGTTATGCTGTTACATAGTGGATGTACAAAAAATGGAACATGATGATTGGGGTAATGAGTTTTTAAGTACATTCAGAATAACATATGAGACAATTGCATCATGAAAACTTGCCCATCTCCAGGATGAAAACCTCTACGTTAAAAAACCAAAAGCCGCTTTCCCCTATTTACAGAATTTATTATCTTATTGTGTCTAAATATCAAAAGTGAAGGCAGCTAGAACCATATCCAGAATTTAGCATTCGGTAATGCCAAATTAGCCAAATGACAAATTAGAGAGAGAGAGAAATAGATCTGCAACCTAGTCAAAGACATAAGGAAGAAGGTCCTAGAGAGAGAGAGATCTACATACTAGACATAAGGATGAAGGTCCTAGAATCCAGCATATTAGATCCTAGAAGCCAACCAACAAGGAATCCCAAAAGCTCATACAGGCTGATAGGTGTTGTTGACTTGCCAATACTTGCATTGTTCAAGACGATAAGCACGGTGACCATTAACAAGAACATTTATCTGTCATAAACATGGGTGAAATTCAACTCTAGTGAGAGTGCAAAGAATGTATTGTATTGCGATGATCTGGAGATACCTCAGAGCAGCTGCCTTTAGTCCCACCATTCAACTATCAAGACTAATGTTATAATGGAAGTTTTTCTACAAGACAACATAGAATTGGCCTTTCATATATATCAAAAAGTTAATAAATTTTGTATGCAACTAAAAATACTTAACATCCATAAACAAGATTTGACATACAAAAGATGCTGATAGCCATGGCTTGTACAAACTATTATTGTTCGGAACATCATACAAATAAGCATAGCATATAGAAGGTAGAGAAATAGAACACCTTTGATCTATAGCATACACTCGAGTAATTAAGTAGAAGTTTTCTTGTCCGTTCTCTCTCCTCCCTTCTATATGCAGATACAACTTCAGCGTTCGCCTGACTTGCCGGTAATTTTCCCACTGCATAACATATATAATTAATTATAATATATGAAAGATAATTCCAAGCAAATTATATCAGTACATAACCCTAATGTTTCTTACTGAAAAAAAAAAAGGTAGCAAAATAGATATTAGGTTTCATGTGGTTTTGATTTTCAAAAAATAAAAAGCAAAATCATACCTCAACCAAGCCAATTATCAAACTAGACATAAATTGGGTAAAAAAGAAAACGATCTTGGGCTCAAATTATGAAAAAAATTAAGATACAACTCTATGTCCCTTTTCTTCGACTACATTTTCTCAGCAAACAAAAGGTTGAACGTAATGTAGAACCCAACAAATATAAACGAAATTCAATTAGCAAGCTTGTAGGGAAAAGAAAAACACAAAAATGGATGTATATTACTGATCAAAATAGCATTTGTACTTAGGAAAATTAATAATAATAACATTTGTTAATTGGCGATTAAAAATGCAGACCTATTTATAAATAACACATATAAACAGAAATGGGCATGTATTATATATATATGGATATGTGTATATACATATGCATGTGTGTGTGTATAGAGAGAGAAAATTACAGAGTGTGGGAATCAACGGAGACGGTCGGTGAACATGAACAAGACAAATTTCTAGGTTCGCGAAGTGTCGGAAAGCCCACTGGAGCAAACTAACGGCTTTGTCCACCGACTTACCCACAGCTACATGTACTCTATCACCGCCGTGTTCTACAATTTCCGGCGACTGAGAAGCCACCGAACAGTTTGTCCGATCGAACCCGTGTCGGAAATTGTCCGGAGAGGAAAACCCAGAAAACCCATCTGCGGAAGGACCCGGAGGATGAGAAGGGCTGAGAATCTCCATATGCAGCCGGAATTCCACTGACTCGCCGGAGAAAAATGGCGGTGACAATTGTGCTCCTTTTTCCTTGGCTTCTTAGGGGAAGACTTTATGGTCTAAACCCAATCAAACTAGTAAGATTCATGGAATGATTATTAATAAGACATCTTGACTTTCACTGACTTGATTACGATACTAGAGAGAAATGAAAGTGAAATGTGTTGATATTTAGATCATATTTTATTGAATTTAGTATTCAAATTAAACGGCCAAGGAAAAGAAGAGTGACCAATAAAATTGTACTCCGTAGTTTTTATCTTTTTGTGAGACTAAGTAGCAAAATAATATTTGACCGTGAATGACGGGAAATTTAGGGCCATGTTTGGAATGCCTCTTGACATTAGTCATAGTCTTGTTTTTCTTTTGAATCAAGGATTAGTTTGAAAATTGGAATTATTGCTTTGGAGCAATGCTAAGGTTATTTCAGAGTTGAAAGTTCACGGAGTTTGAAATAAAAAAATTGTGTATGTTTGACCAAGTTCAAAATTTCGTGCATTGCCACAGCTTAATCCATTATCATTCAAAAAAATAAAATTAAAATTTTTGAAAGGGAGAAGATTGTTGATTCAATTTTTCTATATGAAAGTTGATCCAAGAAAGAAAATTTTAACTGTTTTGATATTTTTCATTTCATTCCCGAATTTCTTTTATCAAAGAAAAAAAAAAAAAAAATGTAAGAAGAATATTCTATTTTATATGTAAATTGACAAGTTTTATTCCTCAAAAATAAATTGAAGTAAAAGGTGAGGTCAATTCATGATGGATTTGACATCAAAGTTGGTAGCATGGTATTCAATTCCCACACGATGTCCAAAAAAACGTTAGCCAATTGAATTTGTCTGGGAGAGAAAAGAAGGAAGTGTTTGACGACACCGTCAAGTGTAAAGCAAGGTCATCTTTTCTAATATTACATTTTCATATTTTTCCTCTTCAAAATCACCTTTAGGCCAACTAATACCATGACCAAGAACAGACCAACGTTTCTTCCAGTAAGGAAGCAATAATATATATTAATTTAATCATAAAATGGTAAGAGCTCTGAATTTGAACCATCCATCATACACAAGCTTTGATTTAATCATAAAATGCTAAGAGCTTTGAATTTTCAATGAAAAGGTGAAAAGTTCAACAACTGCTCATGAAAATGTTATAATTATAGAAGAGTTCAATTTTCCCGCCATCTCTTTACCACTCTTACATCCATCATCTCCTTCCAACAACAAAATGACTTGAAAGTTAAAATTACAGGTAGAGGAACTGGCAAGCAGACATTCTTTGCCAAACATGAAGTATATAGTCGAATTCCACATCCCTCTTCCCGAAGAATTAGAAGCATTTCCTGTGCACAATGGATGGCCCAGATTCATCGTACTCTGCCTTTGCAATCCACATCTGCATCCAAATAAAAACAATCTCCCATCAGCATTCCAAAAAGTTAGTGCCATTCAAATCCCATCTTGATCACATACTTCCATCAAGAGTTCGATCATAATGGGAGATTAATGAATGCAGCAAACCCCATTTCCAGGAAAGCGGCGGTCCAAAAAGTAGGAGGAGCTACTTTCATCGATTTTGAAGAATTAATTTGTATCAAAATGACCACCAACTGGTATCTACTCCTTCCAAGTGGAAGATTGAGGTAAGTTTCCAATGGGACAAATTGCGTGCATGTGAATTATCTACCCAAAAAAAATTGTTTCAAAAACGAATTGTATTCTTGTGCAGCAACATGGTAATGATAGTCAAATAATTACTATATGGATACAGATAAAACAAATGCATAATATATATCATCAGTAATCAAAATGCGATGTGTTAAAGGACGCAATGACACACCTGCTGGAAGGTGCTGAGGGATGCCAAGATAGAGCCGCCAATCCAAACACTGTATTTCCTCTCAGGTGGAGCCACCACCTTGATTTTCATGCTGCTTGGAGCCAAAGCAGTGATTTCCTTGCTCATTCTGTCACCAATACCTGGGAACATGGTGGAGCCGCCACTGAGCACAATGTTACCATAAAGATCTTTCCTAATATCAACGTCACACTTCATGATGGAGTTGTATGTGGTTTCGTGAATGCCTGCAGCCTCCATTCCGATCATTGATGGCTGGAAAAGGACCTCCGGGCATCGGAAACGCTCAGCTCCAATAGTAATCACCTGCCCATCAGGCAATTCATAGCTCTTCTCGACGGCAGAACTAGTCTTGGCAGTTTCCAACTCCTGCTCGTAGTCGAGGGCAATGTAAGCTAGTTTCTCCTTCATGTCCCTCACAATTTCACGCTCGGCTGTTGTGGTAAAGGAGTAGCCACGCTCGGTTAGGATTTTCATAAGGGCATCAGTGAGGTCACGACCAGCTAAGTCGAGACGTAGGATAGCGTGTGGGAGGGCATACCCCTCATAGATGGGGACTGTGTGACTGACACCATCTCCTGAGTCCAAAACAATTCCTGCAGCAAAAAGAAAGGAGGGAAAAACAACACATACTCATTAATTAAGTTCAAATCTTGATTATCAGTAAGCTTAGATTGTCATTGTTAAATAAGAACCTATTCTAGAACATAAAGACGATGTGCTGAAATGCTACTTGGAAAAAGGGTATGTTTTGCTTTCAGCGTGAAATTTCATAAGCACCACACCAAACGAAGGTTGGTTAAAAGAATAAAACAACAAAAAATAAAGCCTTTTCCAACGACTTTGGGTAAGCTATATGAATCCTATTTTTCCAAACCGCTCTAAGGCCATAGCCTCAATTAAACCACTTGTTATCATATCCTTTCTGACTGACTCCACTCACGTTAACTTTCTTCTTCCCCTTCTTCTAGCATTACTATCAATGTGGACCATGTAACTCTTCTTAACTAACACACTTGAAGGTCTTCTATCCACAAGCCCAAATTATCTTAATCGGTTTTCTCTCCTTTTATCTCCAATTGGTGCAACTCCAAAATCTCATGAATGTGTTCATTTCTAAATGGTAGATTGAAGGTTTCTCAAAGCCTATTCCAGAGAGCAAGTATAACATGAGGGAGCACTCACCATGTGAGCATTGAGAGATGAAGGGATGTTTCTCTCAATCCAACGGCTGAAGTGGTACTCTCACTGTAAGAGTACCACAATGATAGTGTCTTTCTATTCCAAATACTTTTTCCTTAAATACAAACACATTAGAGAAGCATCATATTTTAAAAATTAAAAATAATAATAATAAAATGCTTCTTTCAGGTATTACACTACTTTTTGACTTTTTACAATAAGGTGGCTCCTGATTCCTGAACCAGCTTAATCTAAAGATCATTCAACATGGAATTTACAGATCAAGTTAATGCTTATCAATTCCCAATGTTAACAATATTAAAAACAAAACAAAAAAAACACTGAATTAGATGCTTGGGCATTCCTTGCCTTTCTCCCTATCAAATCCATACATAATTTCAACCCAACTAAATAAAACATGAAACAAGATTTCATCAAAATGCTTACCAGTTGTACGACCACTGGCATAAAGCGATAGAACAGCCTGAATGGCAACATACATGGCAGGAGTGTTGAAGGTCTCAAACATGATTTGGGTCATTTTCTCACGATTAGCTTTTGGATTGAGAGGTGCCTCAGTAAGTAGAACTGGGTGCTCCTCTGGGGCCACACGGAGTTCATTATAGAAGGTGTGATGCCAGATCTTCTCCATGTCATCCCAGTTGCTCACAATACCATGCTCGATAGGGTACTTTAGAGTTAGGATACCACGTTTGGACTGAGCCTCATCCCCAACATATGCATCTTTTTGGCCCATGCCAACCATCACTCCAGTGTGACGTGGGCGACCCACAATGCTGGGAAACACAGCCCTTGGAGCATCATCTCCAGCAAATCCAGCCTAAAAATTGACAATGCATTAACACTGAATTAATAGAATAACAGTTATATTCGTTAATGCATTCACTAAATAGAAGATACAACTAGCTTACTGATCAATTTTTGCTATGAAATTTCTGACATAAAGAATCCAAATTTAGTACCTTAACCATTCCTGTCCCATTATCACAGACAAGTGGCTGGATATCCTCAGCGTCTGCCATCTTCTATCAACAGCTAAAGAAAGTTGTTGTCTTCAAATTAATAAAATGATTGAGCACCTGAAATAATAACTAAGATGATAAAAAATTTATTAAAAAAAATTTTAAAAATGGCTCACAGATACAGTTCACTGTAAACTATAACATGCATTATTAAATTAGTTTTCGTGTTTAATGATCAAATCTTTTCATTTCTCCAGTATATTAGTGGATTAATGATGATGACTTATCATGATAAGAAATAGTTGTTAACTATTGATATTAGGTGCCCAAATTCAACCAAACTGTTGCACCTTTTGGTTGTGCTTTCAGAAGGCACCACCTCTCAAACTAAATATATAGAAAAACAAAGAAATGAATAAGCTATAAAGATTTTTATTTTATTTATTTGTATGCTTTTCTGTTGCTGTAAATAATAAAAAATAAAAATAAAAAATGAAGAAGAAGCATGTTTAGCAAATCCCGGGCATATAGATCATGATCAAATCCTGAGACATGGAAAAGATGGACCTTCAACTGTCTTTCTAAACTACCGAGGGACATCAAAAAAGTGGGAAGTTTTTTGTTTGTAGAAGTTGATTGCCGGTAAGAGAACTCTGCCCAGTGAGGTTATCCAGTTTGCTTTATTTGAGATATCAGAGAATTGCAATAGGAAAGAGACTTGTATGTGTTAAGCATATAGCTAGCCTTCCTTCTGAAGAAAACTTGCCAGCAAGTAAAGACAACTCATTTGGTTACACCCAGGGGGTGACTGGAGAGATGTAGAAGGATTTATCTTTTGCCAGTAGCTCTGGAGCGAGCGTTGCCACACAAATGCAAGCTATTAACCAATGTGGTTTGACGGTATAGATTGATTTTTTTTCATGAACAAATTTGACACCAAATAACAAATATATATATATATATATATAATAAAACAATTGCCAAATTATGTATAGAATAGAGTTAGCATCACATGATCACAGCTTTTAAGCTATGATTGGAAGCAGATTGCAATAATGTTAGATTACCAAATACTTTTACTTGGATATTTCTATACATGCTATAAAGTTCGGCCTCTTACAAAGCATGACCAAATGGAAATCTATAATAGGCAGTGGAAACATATTCAACAATGTTATAAAACTAACAATATATAATTCAACTCAACTCAAATCAACAAAGTTGTCACAACCTATGTTACTGAAACTTGGGTTCTTGTATCGGGTGTGAGTATGTGTCAGAGTGTCAACTATCCCTAATTGAAAATTTTACAATACAAGAATTTGACTTAAAAGTGTCCAAAACTTTGATACGAGTGAGTGTATTTTAAATATAATCTGGTTAAACGAACAGAGATACCATTTATCTCATAAGTAGGGAACTCTTCTTCGCCATCAAATTTGAACAAGCGTTCTTCTTCCTTCATCATAGTTAGAGGATCTAGATGTCCGATTTGGGTACGTGACTTGGACACATATTCATATCAATGTACAAGCCATGTCAACATGGGTGCGTTGACAAAAACAGGAAAATCCAGGTAACAGGTCACAACTATAAGAGGTCAACTACATGAATAATGATTCACCATTTTTCTCTATCTAACATTGTAAGTTTGTTAGTTAAATCATATCTTTCTTTACTTTCTAATGCCATAAGTTCAATAAGACTATTTGTGACACTTCAATTCTCCAAAACCATCATATTATATCTTTAAGAACCCTATTATTGGTTTCTCCAAAACTATAGAAACCATACAAAAATCTTTATTCCTTTATCTACATCTTTGTTAGTTCCCTCTGTAAGAAAATAACTTCCATTGTTTACTTTCCTGTATAAATGTAAATTGATCTTCTGACATTGTTGTTCCATGTCTTCATCATTGTTCAATCACTCTCTTCCAAAAAGTTCCATAGTATGATTAATATATTAATACCATAATACTTGTTACAACTTCAAATAATATTGTAAACCAACTTTAAATCCTTTTCCACCACGATGATCTTATTAAACAATTTTATACTTGGTACGCCCCATTCCTATAAATATATATATATATATAATAAAAAAAAATTGTTTCCTCTATTCTCCTTAATGGTATTCTTCTAAGAAGTTATATGAGAAAGAGGGAAGGGAAGTTGCACTTTCCTCAATGGGAAGACGTTCTGGGTAGGTTCATTTTTTATAACATTTTAGCAGCTCATGAAATAAACCCTAAGCATACTTGGATGCTTTCGCTTTAAAGGCTTCTCAAAGTAGTATTTTTATTTTTCTCTAATTTCATCATCTTTCACCAAGAATGTTAACTCTTTATATACTTTTATTTTTATTTTTTTTATAAGAAAGATTAGAGTAGGAAGCGTCCAAATGGGGAATGCATCCCACAAATGCTACACTAGGACCAAATAGCTAAACTCTCAATATGTCCAAAAAAGTCAACTATCTCCCCCATGGATTTACAACTTCTCCCAAGAACCCAACAACTTTATATGCTTAATTTTAATAAGGCCAAAAGTCCTAGCCTTATCGATTAAAATTCTTTTTCCTATCTCTGATACCTAATTCAAGAATAAAATGTGATTTATACTTGATGTCTCTCATAAATTTTCTAACTCCTTTCCTTTATATATTTGTACTTTTTAATACCTTATTCATTTCTATTATCCTGCTAAGTTTTAAAAAACACTGGCTTTTTTTTGGGTTTTTACTAAGGTTTGGGTATACCCATCCCACCAAGTTTCTTTAAATAACAACCCTCCTTTTAATTCTCCAAGGACATCTTTTGATATTCTTTTAATACACTCAATAATCCTGTAGCACATTGCTTTTGCTTCATCTTATAAATTACATGTTACTTCTTTTAACCTCTCATTTAAATAATCATACTTTCTCCCTTTCAAATTTCATCACCAAATTCTAGGATTTCTAACCTCCTTTCTCTTTTTTTATTGTCTTTTAATACATACATCTAAAGCCAACGACCTATTTTTCAATATTAAGGCCTCTCCAGCAATAATCTTAGAACCTTTACGTGCTAGACAATCTACTCTTCTAGTTAAAAATATCAATATCACTTCTATTTAATCCACTTTTAAATTTTATTAAATGTCCGTCTCTCTCTCTAAAATTTACATTTACCACCACAAATCATATGCCATTGCAAAGTCTTGGATGACCTCCCTAACATCATTCCTATCTCCAAATTTATCTCCACCGAATCCTAAATGACAGTTACATCTTCTATAAATGATTTCCATCCTTGGAGTATTCATTGAGTTAAGTCATTCATATGCACACAAAATTGTACCTTAGCATGTTTGTCCAGTCCTATTTGGGAGGTCTCCTGGTTTGTCCCAAATGAGATGACTGAAGACTCATCATCTCTCCCTTTCATAACAAAATGACATCTTTTTACAATTCATTTCCAAAAATGACTTTATTGCAGTAGTTGAGCTGAGATACGTCTAATTAATGAAAAAAATCAACATTTTCCAAACATAATATTAAACACTTAGCGTATGAACCGCCATTACTCAACATGGTCCCTATTGATTTGAGGGTGTTAGTATATGTGGACTAGATGCAAACCTAATTTTTGACATTATGTGCACAAAGTAGCTGCTCTTAGGCAAACTTTCCACACATATACACTATAAAAAATAAATTAAAACGAATTGAAGTACCTTTAAGATACACTACACTGCTCTCAAATAAGAGTATATTAATGAACAGTATTAATTACTCAGGAAAAAATTTCAATAATTCACCACATTCTGATCTATTTAATAAAAAACAATCAGACAATTAGGGATCATTCATCCACTAAAACACACACACACAAAAAAGGCCTCTTCGGATAAATAAATTAAAAAAAAAAATTACGTATGTTTCAAATATATATACACTCAGAGAGAGATCGGATCCATCACTATCACGACGTCAACCACTATTGAACGCCACAAAATCCAATATAAAATAATAAAATACCGACATTGGAGCGTTCATATAAATTATAAACTACAATAATGTAATTGCGTGAAAATCCATATCTATGATGACAAGCAAATTTCGAAATGTATATGAAAAACAACTAGAGAATTACGGAACAAATAGAACAATTGATAGATTCCAGAGAATACATACATGTATGTATATAGAGAGAGAAAGTGAGAGTGAGATGAACCTCGGAAAAGTGGCCTCGTCGTCGTCAGCTGCCCGCCCTTTGTTGGAGTTTCAATTCAAATTAGTATTTGGGAAATGAAACCAAAGCCCAAATGAAATTGAAATACGCTTTAAATGAAACCCTTGACCCGATTTTATTGTCTACAATCCTGGCCGCCCGCTCGTTTCACCCTTTCAAGGTTTCTCGCGACGCGTGTCCTTTGTGATCTGCGCTTCCCGTAAAACCAGCTCTATTTCAGATCACTTGTGTGCTATGTCAACTTTAAAATTACCTCAGAAAAAAACACAAATATTATATATATATATATATATATTCAAATTTAAATTACCTGCAAAACAAAAAGGAAAACAAAAAATAAAATTACCAATTAGGCAATAAGTCATATATATTTTTTTTATTGTAAAGACCAATAACCTTATAAATTTCTCAATAAAACCCTTATGTCCAAGGACAGCAACTTGGGCATATCCGAGCCTAATCCGAAAATTTTTAGAATTGAACAGTATTATTTGGAATCGGACTGAGGCTTATGCTGAAAAAGGAGGAATTTGAATTCATTCCAGTCTGAAAACCGTATAATTCGTATTCATGTATCGGGCAACTCGAAGCCCAACTCTAGCCTATCCCAAATTAGCTAATCCAAAATATCGATTTGTGAACCTGATTATATAATAATATACATATACATATTCGATTGCTTGCATATTGATATGTAATTTGTAATATATATTCAAAAACTGCAATGAACCTTATCACTTCCTTTTTAAATATTTTTGTAGGTTGATGAGAAATACTCCTCTAACATTAATGTTTGAGTTTGAAGATTGACCATATGAATAATTCAAATTAACCTGTCTTACTAATCTAAAATCTCACCCCAAATTACAAACTTGAATTCAAGGATGAGTTGAGCTTGGGGATGAGTAGTTAAGGATGGAGATTGAATTAGGGTTGAACATTTTTTATGTCAGGTTAATTAAGTTTAAGTTATACCACTAATCCGTCCAATAAGTACTTAGAGTTGCAACCTTGTTAAGTTATCCTCTTCAACCATTATTCCAAATAAGATGGATTTTTTTTTTTTTTTTTTTTTTTCAAACAAGAAGGGATAAGCCATCCCAAAAATTATTTCACTTAAGTTTTAAAACAATCAATTTTTCATATGTACCACCAATATTGTCAAATTAGAACTATAATTTGAACTTATGATTTTTTTTTTTAATAAAAAAATGATTTGTTATTTAAACTTTTTTATTAACTAATCAAACTTATTTGCTTTTTCTTTTTTTAACAATTGAATTTTTTTTCTCAATTTAGGAATTTTACAGTAACATGATAGTGTATTTTCTAAAATTAAAGCTAATTTTTTTTAAAAAAATTAAAGAATAAATTTTAAAAATTTACAGCAAATTAAATTTCATTATAAAATCTTTTTTGGATACATGACTAAATTTTTAATAAATTGAAAAAACATGTTTTACAAATTATAATGGATAAAGTTGAAAATATGAAAGATTTCAAATTAGTATAGAACTCAGTGTGGTCAAATTACAAATTTAGAAGACTTCTTTGTCTTCCACACAGTTTCACTCAATATTTCTACCATATTCGTCCATCGTGGAACTGCATGTTCACATGTTGTCAGCATATGATATAGAATGATATAGTATGGAAATTAAGGTGCTGTTTGACTATTTAATTTAGCACTTAATTCTAACTTGTTTGAAAATTTAATGTAGCGTTTAATTCTAAATGGATTAAGCACTTATTTAATTAAGTACATTTGATAAGGCAATTTGAATATTACTTAAAACGGTAAGTACCACTGAAAATGTGGTAAAATTTTAAATAATGGAGACATCACTTATAACTGAATGCTGAATATTGAATACTAAAAATTAAAATATATATATATTTATTTTATTTTTTTATTTTTATTACCACTTAAAGACTTTAGTACTGTAAATTCAACTCATAAAATTTTCAGTATTTAATTTTCAATTTTATCAAATAGCACATCAAACATTTATTCAATTAAATGTGTTTGATAACACAATTCGAATATGAAAATGATAAACACCACTTAGAATATAATTAAATTTTAAGTAATAGGACATCACTTATTACTAAATGCTGAGCACTAAAACATTAAAAAAATATAAAAATATATATTTATTTATTTTTTAATTATCATTTAAAATTTTCAATTTTATCAAACAATTCAATTTTATCAAATATCACGCTAAGAAACTATGATAGACTTGTCCACAATGGATACTATAGGGATCAGAACATATATTTTCCTCTCCTTTTTTTTCCCCTACATCAGAGCGTTTGGTCATTTAAATGAAGCCTTACATATTCACCTTATCATGTACAAGTCAAATGCCTTTGAACTAGGAAACACCGATAGTGAATGTGGATACGACATGATACAGATACAGTGATACGATAAATCTTTAAAAAAAAATACGAATAGGACAAGATACGGTAATAAAAAAATAATTAATTTTATTTTTATGTATAATAAAATTTTAAATTTTGGTTGATTTTTTAAAAATATTATGAATTTAGATTCAATCATTAATATAATATAGAAGTTCATTTCACAAAACATAAAATAAGCATTCCAAATTATCACTTAATAAAATTTAAACTTTTCTTAACAATTATAGGAAATGTTGCATTTTAATGTTCAAGCTTATTAAAAATGTGTTAAGAAGTTTCTGAAAAGTGTTGGATATGTATTTGAAATACCTAAGAGGCTAAGAAGTATCAGATACGTATTAAAATTTTGAAAATATATTTAAGAAGTTTGATATATATCTGCAAGTATCCGTGAAATATCGGTATCCGATACGGATACGTTATTCTCCTAGAAGTATTTGTACTTCTTAGCCTCCAATAAGTTTAAGAATTCAAGAGATTAAGTTGTCATTTGATAATTCAATTAAGTACTTAATTAAAGAGTAAAATGTAAGTTAATCTAATTAAGTATGTTTGATAATATAATTTAAATATTTATTTAAAAAATGCTCAAGTAGGGTAAAATTTTAATTGACAGTCACTTATTATTGAACTTTTTAAATTAAAAAAAAAAAGAAAAAAAGAAAAAAAAAAAAAAAAGAAAATCTCAATTTGAAATTATTGTCGTCAGCGAAAATCACAATTGTCTTGGATCAATTGTACAACTTGTAGTTTATATAATTTTATATGATCATCAAGGACAAAAGGCTAACTAGTGTAGCAAATAAAAGACGCGGGAAAATAAATCCCCAGAAAAGTGAATAAAAGTTTGAAGAAGTGCGTATGGGTGTGCAGAGCAGAGAGTTGAAAATGGAGGTGGAGATGATTGTTAGAGATGGGACACATTATAATGGGAGATGGGAAGCAAAATGATTAAGCATGAGCATGAGACGCAATTATGTGCCCTGAGAGTGTGTGTTTGCACTTCTATATGATATATATCGTACACCCACATTATCATTACATTTTATTCATTAACCATAAATAAATTAATAAGCATGTCATAGGGTCATCAATTCGATAATGAATTAAAGATTGGGCTTAATGGAGAAATTGTTCTTTATACTTGTGCCCTTCTACTCCACTGTATTTTCAAATATCCCTTGTAATTATTCTTTAATTTCATTCTTTTCTCATTATATTTTGGTTATCTTCACAATTAATGAAGCCTACCCACCATAACTTGGTGAAAGATTCAACCACAATGGATTGAGCTTTTTAAGAAGAAAAATAGGATTGTTGTTTTTCTATGAGCTAATCAAATCCTAATTTTTGCAGTAATTATTTCATTATTGGCTAGCTATTATAATTTACGTATTTAGGAAATAAGACTCTTTTATACCGTTAATATTTTTAGGTTCTCTTTGTTATGTATTTATGTTTCATGTTTATTGTTCAAGAATTGGAATATATATATATATATATACACGGTCTCTAGTGCGAGGGGTAGGGCGCTTGTCCCCCATTTGAATTCAAAGTCGCAACGCTCCTATTGTTGAAGATACCAAGCCTACTCGTCCCCCTAATGGTGAGAGTACCCAACAACTTGAACTTGGACTCTAGTTGACTTCTAACTTAAGAGTTTAAGTTGCAGATATTACTACAAACATGTCCTTGTATGTCCAAGTCATTTCACATCTGAATCCAATGTGCCACAAAACCTCCCTAACACTTGGGTTCCAGCAATTAATATTGTGTGATTGAGTAATTAATATGAGCCATTTCCTGAATTAATATGAAGCTATGAACTAGAAAATGGAAAAATTAAGAGCATAGTAAAGTAAGAGGAGTACATGTTTACTTTTAAAAACAGTAAACGAAAGCAGAAGCTTCCTATGTTCCATTATCAATTTATCATAAAATAAAATTTGAATGACATATAGTGGTTCTCTCTCTATCTATAAATATATAGATATATGTATATAGTTGTTGCATCAATCTCCCCGAAAACTTGACAAAGATAGGACAATATGTTGGAGACATATTGAACAAGTTTCTAATATAGATAAGTTACTGTGCCAGAATATTTGGAATCTGAATCAAATGAAATGGTAAAAACTGAAATTACAAAAAGATGTGGGGTTTATAAGAAAAACAAAAAGGCAGCAGTGCTAGCACACTTCTATGGTGAAATCCAAGCAAGCTAATTGGGTCCCTTATTATCTAGTCAAGGCTCAACCTATATGATGTCCATTTATCATTTACCGACATGATATAATGAAAAAAAATTGTAAGACAAAAACTAAATTGTAATAAAGGAATTTCCATATGGAGTCGAACAACATAGTTATATCACCATGCAATACAGATATATTACAATGCGAAGTTACGACGTAGTTACACACAAAAGTGCAATACACATGGAATAATTTTTAAATTGTTATGTAACACATTTTAAAAAACTTCAAGCCATAAAGTGGGATGCAATTTTATTTGTAATTTTAGTGGAGTAATTTTAATATTTTATAGATATATAATTAAAAAAAAAAAAATCAAAATACATAATACCCAAAAAAAAATAATTGTAGGTATTTAAAGGCATCAAATTTACTCTTAAGAGATCAGCATCCTCTCCAATCATGTCTTCTTGGTGGGTCAATTTCATTACTATTAACAGTGAATTCCGTCCTTATATCAATATAAAATTTAGCAGTAAGTAAATAATTAATAATCAAATTCAAACATGTGAATTTCACATTACTATAATAACGTGATTTATTATTGATAATTTGATAGTGATGTGAGGATTTTGATCAGTTTTCAGAGAATTTGCACCCTCTATTAATAAAAAAAGAAATAAAAATAAAAATAAAAATAACAGGCCAAGAATATGAAGATATGTTGCAGAGAGATATCGTGAGAAAGTGAAGTAGGTATAAGATGGCTGTGCTGTAGCTAACCACGTGCAAAGATGCATCAAAGTTTACAAAAATCAGAAAAGCGATTGCAAATACTAGGAGATCTTAGTATTATAAGTTAGTTAATGTCTGACTAAAACAAAGAAAAAGGAACGTCAAATGATCAGTTAGAGAGGGATACAGACGCAGAGTTCTAGAGAGAGAAAGAGACGTATGTTTTATTTGCATTGGATCCTTCGCCGAATTAGATATCCAAACTAATCCACCTTGTCTCTCTCTTTTTTCTTTCTTCCCAAACGTTGGAAAAGCTAACTTCCAAAGATGGTCACTAAACAAATGAAAAAATGGTGAGAAAGATCAAATTATAATCTTAGACACACCATTTCCATATCATTCACTCTCTTTTTTTCTCTCTCTAGCTTACGCATCTTAATCTTTGCTTTTTAGGCTTGTTCTTGATCTTATTGTCTCTTTGTTGTAGTTGGTTTAGCTTTATTCCTACTCTCAATCTCTTGCAATTCCCTACTCTGAATTCTAACCCCTTTTGATCTTTTCATTCATGGGATTGCCTAATTCTGGGCTCTTTTTATCTCAAAGTGATCTGAATGCTATGGAATTCAATTTTCTGTCAAAACCCATGTCGGAGTTTCAAGATTTTGAGTTTCAAATTGCACCAAAAGAAGTCAGTGTTCAGCTTCAAGAACAAGATCAGCAACAAGAAGATGAACAAAAACAAGAACAAGGCGCCCTGCAAAAGGCTGAAGTGGGGGCTGTAGAGAATCAGATGTACACGGTCTTATCTCCGCATTCCTCTCACATCCTCAAAAGGTCATCCGTGGGAGAATTCAAGGAAGAGGATGATGACGGATTTAGAACTCCGACGAATTTGGATCAAAGAATACCAATATTGGTCCCTCAATGCCCACCTGCACCAAGAAAACCCAAGTCACTTCCAGTGACAAAAAGATCAAAAGCAGCTCGCCGCGGAATTTTAATGGAATTATCGAAAGAGATTGAGTCTTTGTTTCCTCCCGCTCTTCTTGCAGATATTGGTGGTAAGATGAAGAAGGCAAGAAAGTAAATGGAACCAACATGATCATGTTAGTTGTATCTTGTTTATATTGAATGCAAATTAATTTCCATAACAAATCTATTTCATCTATGCTATGTTGTTAATTCAGAGTTTATTTTCCATTACTTCTCTAGCCAGTAGTTCATTACATTTTTTTCTGGTTAAAATCTATGTTTCGTGGAGTTTCGGCGGCAAGACTCGGATCTGATTCTACATGTTAAATGTGTAAAAGATCGAAACTAGAGCACATATATGTATACACATTTGCATATATATATATATATATATATATATATATATATATATATATATATACCACTATTACTTTGGTGAGTGTCATGCAAAGCTATAGATTTTGTGTCTTTTAATCGAAGGAACAGTTCTGGTTCTGAAGACTAACTGAAATTGCCTCTCTATCTGTATTTTGTGATTGGAAATCATTTTCATTGACTTTTTTGGGCTCAGAGATGTGTTTCATTGACTTTCTGATCAGGAGATGCAAAACGTCCTTCATGGTTTTCACGCTGAAAATAACCATCAAAGGTATATTCCTCTACAGTAGTTGTGCTATGTGACAATGTGATTAGCCATTGGAACTTGTGAGTCCCACAGAGGTTGTCGCGCTGCACTTAGCATTTCCGATTCTCCTAGTATATGTCAGAATCTCTCTACTACTATGTGTTTATCTTAAGAGAGTACTCGGGGCGAAGAGGCGGACATAATTCCTTCACCGAATACTCTTAATTGGTCATTTATGCAAGATGGAGGTTGTTCTCTCCTATGTGTTTGTCTTAAGAAAGTAGTTCGAAGAGGTGGGCATAATTCGTTCACCGAATACCCTTAATTGATCTTTTATGCATGCTAGGGGTTGTCGAAAGAATTTTCCTACAACTCCATCATTTTCCCATAAATTAATCAAAGATTCCTGAATTCAAGGTGAGTCCTACTTGCTACTTAATAATAATACATAAATTAAGTTGATTAATTGGCTGGGTCCGAGTTGTTTTTGCTGCCATCACTTATAACTTTTCATGCCTAGGTAAACTTTTATCACATGAAACAACATTTTTTATTGCAAGATTCCTCCAAAAAGAATCACTGATCTTGTTTCCCATTAGAAGCTGATCATGGAAACAAGCACAAGCTGACTCATAATAACACATAAATATACATGAATATATGTACATCATTATCATGGTGTGTGTACATGTGTGTGTGTATATATATATATATATATATATTTGGAAGCATGACTGTGAGCCATACTTGTTGTGACATGCTTTATATTTGTGATAAACGCGCGCTGCCATGAAAGGCTATCTAGTTAAGTTGACCCTCATGGTATGCAGTACCACAGAGCAAATTTGATCCAAGTTTGGAGAAAGAGTAAAAACATTTTTGGAAACAAAATTATTCAAAAAAAAAAAAAAAAAATGAGTGGACTTAACTGAGGCCCAGCTTGGTTTGAGGGAACAAAAGAAAGGCAACAGAGGGAAATCAAATGTTGTGTTTGGTATGAATTTTTAAAAGAAATGAAAGGAAACGGAGGGATTAGGAAGGAAACAAATTATACTGTTAGTTTTGTTAAAATGGAAGGAAAATAAAGAGAAGGCTAACTTTTTTTAATGAAACATTATTAATACCAAATCTATCAAAAAGAATTTGGTAGTAAATTCATTATAATACTTTTCTTTCTTTTCTTTTCCCAAATATGATTAGTATCATTTCCTTTATTAATTAACGAAACACGATAAGCGGTTAACTATATCCTTTCATTTATTTTCTCTCCCAACTAATCTTATCATTTCTTTTCTTTTCCATTATTCCAAACATAGACGACAAAGGTGGAAATAAATTGATAATGGAGGACTTTATAAACCCTAAACTCAGAATTATTCAAAAAAAAAAGTATCAAAATAGTAATTTCGTGAAGAACAGTGTTATGAAGAGTGAATGTTGTGACTCTGCACAAAGAATTCCTCTTTCTTGAAATACTGAATTTTTTTTTTTTTTTTTTTTTTTAATACTAAGAATTCTTGGTAATACTAAGAATATTGAGGATAATTAAATTCAAGAATACTGAATTCATTTTTTGATTCTAACATAACCAACATTGCTTTCCATTATTTGATTTCTAACTTTTTTTTTTTTTCTTTCCATATATGTTTCTTCTCTGTTTTGGTAGTGCCTCTCCGTTGCAGTTTGGGTTTCAGGTTGTTATTTCAGTTGGCTTGGTCCGAGATGGGCCTTGGGTTGTGAAATGGGACTTTGGGCTTTGGTTTGTTGTTGTCCAGTCTTTGCTGGTTTTTAGGTCATAGTACACATATAGCTCACACACCCAACCACATTTGCCATTGCACACAATTGAATCCACTTTGAGAAACCATCCAATTTATTTTATTTTATTTTATTTTATTATATACATTTTATTTATGGGAAATTTTTTTCAGGAAACTGAATGTATGTGATAGATTTGGAAAGGATGTTATGTAAAGGTATTTCAAGTAACTGAACCCTTGTTGGGACATATTTGGATAAGAAAAATGATATACAAGGTGACTCTGTTTGTGTAAACTCTCTCACAAGAGTATTGGGGTCCATGACAAATAGGAAGTGGTACCATGCCATTGGCACATCCTTCTTTGGGAAAATTTCTCAGTAATTGCCCAATACAAATGGGACTGGGGAGTGTGCCCGGAGGCCAAAAAATGGATATTCATTTTTTTTTTATCTTTCGGGCTACCGTTCAGAAAATTTTCTTGATAATTACTCCAAATGAATTACATGTGCCCCATTGTGAATTATAGAGTTCTTTTAGAGACTCGATTCGTCCATCTCTATCACTCTATGTGTCAGTCATACATAGAGACTCGGTTCGTCCCTCTCTAGCACTCTATGTGTCAGTCATACACACACACATGTATTGAGCTGTGTGCAGGCCGAATGGGCCTTTTATCTTGCCCACCCTCAAGAAGTTGTGAAAGTTGAAAGTTGAAAGCAACAGATCAGTATCTCTTGTTTATACATGTAATGTGGGTCATGGTTGGTAAAAGATTGGGCCGGTAAACGACAGAAGGGCCTTTGGGCCCAGAGGAAAAAAGGTGCAATAAAGAAGGGGAAGACTTTCTTCTTGTGTGCTTGTTGGCATACACCAAACCTAAAGTGCCTCTCTTTTCAACCTTCATTGGATCCTCATCTGCCCTTCTATCATCCATCAAACCTTTTGGAGGACAATGTTCTCCTCTGTCTTCTTCTCAAATGCCTACACTGTCCTTATAATCATTCTTCATATTATATAATTGGACAGCTAAATTAGGGCTCCACCTAGCTACTCACATTGACCAAGTGTTGGATCTGCTTAGGTTATTCACCAAATGTGGGGTCCTTGTCCATAAAGGTCGAGAAATTACTATGATAAAGGACATCAAGATTCGGCCAATCATGATGCAAATAAGTAAAATTATGAATAAAGTTTGACACATTTATTTACATGTAAAGTTCTATCTAAACATGTAGAGATTTTCCAATATATATACATATTGTGTGTGTGACCACGTAAACTCACAACTAATAAGTTATTAATTGATATTGCACCCTAAATAATGTATTTTGACAATTAAACAGGTGAATTATACTACATATGCATTTACCATCATCGTCATTGATATCAAATTTCAAGTCATAATTTTCCAAATGTCCCTATATACATATTGTGTGTGTTACCATGTAAACTCACATTTAATAAGTTACTAATTGATATTGCACCCTAAATAATGTGTTTTGATAATTAAACAGTTGGATTATACTTACATTTATCATCATTGTCATTGATATCAAATTTCAAGTCAAATGTTTAATGAGACATTTCTAAATCTCTAATTATTTAACTTTAAGATGCATAATAAACATAGAAAGGACATTCTATCCTATGATCTATTATTAATTTTTTGAAGTTTTAAGATTATTTTATTCTTAAATTAGAAACATAAGTGAATAGGGTGTCCTATCATTTAAAAGAGAAGACCTACAATGGGTTCTACTGTCTTAAAATCAGTATCATATCAATTAGATGAAAATTTTGTTTGAGTATTTTATTTACATACTCAGAGGTGAAATTGTGTACATCTAACTCTTTTCAAATTCTGTAACAATGGAAGCGGGTGTGTGAAATTGTGTACATCTAACTCTTTTCAAATTCTGTAACAATGGAAGCGGGTGTGCTACAGCCTACCTCCCTCTTTTTGTTCCTCCCGAATTCTAGTCTGTAGATTGCTAATTTGGCATGTCACTCCACATTTTATCTTCCAAGTAAAAATAATTCATAATTTTAACCATTTTGTAAGAAGGCATAAAAGTCATTTGAACATAGACAGACTCTGCACAACTAATGGAATTTTACCTTTGCTTGCTTTATTATTTTTATAGTAACACAATAATTCTGTTTCTTCTTTTCCCAGTCAGCAAAACCAAGTAAAGCAAGAAGGAGTGCTTAGGAATGATAATACCACCTCTTATCATTGGTCAGTCTTTTTGACCCTATCCTCCTTGTTTTTTTTTACTCTCTCTTTCTCTCTCTACACACCCATGTTCTATATACACCAACATTTTTTCATCTTCACAGAGTACTCTCTGTAAATGACACAGCTCTCTCATGTAGTGTCTACTACCTGAATTGACCTCTATTGGACTCCATTTTCAGCCATGTCTCAACAGGTACTGTGTTTTTTTGGATTTTACCTATGTGATCTGTCTTCAATATTTTACTACCGTGATATTTCTGAAGATGGGGTGTGTGTTTTTTTGCTATAATTTGTTCTGATGATGGGTCTGTCTTGTTTTTCCATCTGTTTGTCCTTGGAGAGATTCCTAATTGGAATAGTTTTTCAGTGATTGATATGATTTTGATTTGATTTGGGGTTGCAGGAAGAGGGATGGCCTTTGGGATTGCAGCCACTGAATGTTAGGGTTGGGCTGGTGAGACACACTGATTTTTCTGGATCAATTTCATTCAACACCACTTTAGTCAGTGCCTCTATTAGCTCCTCTACTGATTCTTCATCAGATTTAGATACAGAGGTCAGTGAGAAATCACCAGAATACTATGTTATGGCATTGTGTGTGTTTCATTTTTGGTGATTCTGTGAGGTCTGGCTTTAAAAGTAAAATGTTAAATAAAGTAAGGACGACATAAAAAAAAGGGAAAACTCATTGCAAGTCTAGCACGAATTAAATGTACGTAACTTTACCTTTGTATGTGCAGTGTTACGTAGAAGGTGGCTCTCTTACTTGCCATTTTCAATGGTTAAGGGACAGCCATTGCTTAAATAAATGTTGACACTTGACACCTTTGTATCTGGCAAGGAAATGGCATATATCTTAAATTTTTAACATGATGTAGGTTGCAATGTGCTTAATTATTATCCAATTTTCAAATATATTTTAGTTAATCTTCAAAATAAAAAAATAATAAAAAAATCTCTTATACATCTTACTTTAACCAAACTTGTGAATATGTTACCTAACAAAATAACACAAATGCTATGTTCGGTAGAAGGAAGGAAAGGGAGTGGATGGAAAATAAGAAGGAAAATCTATAGAGATGAGATAAAGAGAGAAACTGCAATATGAAGTATGAGTCATAATTCCTCCTTTATAAATTTTCCCTCCAAAGGGAAGACAACTAGTGCTATTACGAAAGTTATGAATTACAATACTATCTTAAATTATACAATTTAAAATTACAATATTATTTTCTATAAAAATATTATAGATAATGATGGGTGTAATGATAAAAATAACTAAAAACTCTAACTTTCTTTTTTTTTCTATGAAATACAATAAATTGTGAGTTTGTTGTATTTTCTTCCATCAAACCAAAAAAGAAAGAAAAAAGAAAAAGAAATTATATAATTTCTTATTTAGGAATGTCTTATTCATTCCTTTTTCTTCCACCGACTCCTAAAGTGAGAGATAAGGATTCCAATCCCCTTGGATGGAGCTTGTCAATCAAGCACAAAAGCAAATTCCAACCATTGAAAGTGAACGCTCCCATCAAAACATTATTATTTTTTGAAAAAAATAAGGAAACAAGGGAGGCCATTGACAATTTGACGGGAATGGATGGCTTAACTCTCCAAAGGCATCCAATGTGGGATCCAAGTACTATACATAAAGGGTTTGAAAAGTAATTTAACTTTTACTTTTCTCATCTCTACGACACATAGGGTTCCTCGTTTATCTAGGAATAATAATTAGCGGAACTAATCTATTTTCGCCTTTCTCTCAGTTGTCTTTAAGCGTTTGGATCCTTTTTTGGGTACATTTTGTTGTACCATTATATTTACTAAAACTAAATTGAGAATGCAATTTTGATGTTTCAATAGCGTTGTAATGTTATATTTTGGTATTAATATATTGTTTGAATATTACATTTTTGAAGTAAATGTATTGCATGAGATTTTACTTCATTGTTACATGAATGTTGTGTTCGTGATATAATTTATCCCTTATATGATCAATTTAAATTCTAAGTAGACGTTGGAAGAGCACTGGTGCATTTTTCTTAAATTTCAATGGTACCTCTACTCAAATCTTAAGGTGGTCCTGGCTCAGCTTCCTAGAAATCCTATGATTCCCAGCAAATAATGTAGATGAGAGAGAGAGTGTGTTTGTTTTTTCTAAATTCAATAATTGATAAAGCTTTGAGCTCTTTACTAACTAGTTGAGGTCTATCACCAAATACATTAATCAGTAAGTAGAAGTAGAAGTATCAAAATCCAGTGCTTACTTGAATCGTGTTTTTGAAAATAATTCTCGAGAACTCAAAAAATAAAAAACTATTTTCAAAGAACAAACATGGGTCCGCTTGGTTTAATTTTTTTAAATTTTTTAAGAATTATTTTATAAAAACTCAGGTTAAAAAATGTTTTCAGATACCATTGCAGTGCAACTAGCATGTATAAATGAATTAACCCTTTTGGGATTATACTCAAGCATATCTAAAACTAGAAGTAATTACCCTTAAACAAATAAAAAATAAAAATAAAGCTGCATTACATTTTCTTATTCTATTACATTTCACACCCTGACTATATTGTGATTGATTTTCAGTCCACAGGATCCTTTTTCCATGACAAGAGCATTACACTTGGGAGCCTTATTGGTGTCTCTACCATGTTAGATCATCTCCCAAGAAGATCAACAAGAGGAAGAAAATCAGAAACCCTAGGAGACAAGAAGAGCCACAGGACTAGAACTTGGTGTTTTTCTCTGTGTCCAACGGACTCTACCGATGCCGAGAGTACGAACAATAATAATAATAATAATAATGCTCCATCCCTAGGTCATTTTCTTGAAGTGGAGAGGAGAGCTGCTAATGAACATAGAAGGAACCATAACCCCATCATTTATGGACCAGATGAGCTTGCCCTGGCTCAGCACGATACAGAACCGAACTCGCTGTTTGTCAATGGCTGCATCGCTCCTCCCCGGTCAAGCCCATGGCCTGGTTCGGATGAAAGGAGACAGAACAGAGAATTTGAGTCTTGTGATGGATATGGAGTTCCAGTGGCACTGTTTTCCTGCATGTGTGGCCATTCTAACTAAGCATTTCTTAAAACTATCTTTGGGTTTTTTTTTTTTTTTTTTTTGGGTAAGTAAGCTTTTTTATTTTCAATTAATAATAATTAAATTTTATTTTGTATGAAGGAAGTATATGTCACATTCAATGTGTTTTAGAGAGCGAATCTATTTTTGTAACAAGGATATCTATCATATTAGTTTTTTTTATAAATCATATTAAGAGTTGAAGGTCACAAATTCAAAACAAGAAATATCTTCACCGCATACAGAAGTAAAACTGTATACAACCGACCCTCCTCAGATCAGCTAAAGTCACGGGCAATTTTAGAATAGTGAATTTCATGAAAATGACCCATTCTTGGCAGGTATTTTTTTCATCTCTGGGAGGTTAATTGAAAGAGCAAAAAAGTCAACACTCAGTGAATGTGCCTACTCTATCTGGTGGGAAAGAAATGGCAATGCCAGAGCTTTTAAGGGCAAGGCTACCTCCCACAAGAACATTATTTCAGTGATCAGAGACACCACAAGGAGCAGTTGGACTCTGTCAAAATCAAGGACAGTGCTCTAATGAGTAAAATTGAAAGGAATTGGGATAAATTCAGTCTCTCTCTATATTTATTATATATATTTATATATATATCCTTGGTTGTTGGACTATTGGTGGAAGATTATTGGTGGAGTACTAGTGGTGAATCAGTTGTTTGATTGGAGGTAATCAATAATTATCAGATGAGTTTGGTGATTGTTATTTGCTTGTATCGACCAAAAGTTATTGTGTTTGTATTTGGTTGGGCTGATTCTTAGATGGAACTTCCTTTGTTTGTTAGGGCTGAGCCTACTCCCTCTTGAAAAGTTATTGTGCAACCAGCAATGGTGATTACTAATAATTACTAATAAATGAGGGGTTTTGCTCGGTTGGAGGAGGTATATAGAGCTTTTTTTGATTTGTAATACTGAAACAATTACGAAAAATTCTTAAAATGGTTATTTTTATAACTGAGTTTTTAAAAAATATAAAATAAAAAATTCAAAAAATTGAATCAAACAGAGTTTTTATACAGTTTTTTATTTTAAATTATCTAAAATGTAAAAACATAAAATTGTTTTCAAAGTTACGTATCAAACATGTCCATAGTAACTGTTTATCCCTCTCGTTGGCTCTTCTTACCTTGCTTGTATAGTGTTATTTTCATTCGCTATGTTACTTAAAAACTCTGTGGTTATTTTTGATTGGTAAATCTTCTCCATAATTAAGGATCTAATACTTTTTGACATGTTGTCATAAACAATGGGGTAGGAAGGAAAGAAAGGTGAGGAGGAGGGGATTGAAACACTAAAAAGTAAACTGAAGGGAATAGAAAAGTGAGGCATTTCTTTTTTTCAAAAAATAAATATAAAAATAAAAATAAAAGGGTGAGAAAATTCTCTGTTTTCTTTTACTATATCATATAAAAAGATTTTTTTTTTATAAATAAATAAATAAAAGATTGATTTCCTTTGCATTGTTTGTTTTGCTTACTAAACTTGTAAATCAACTTTCTAATTAACCTAAGTAGTAACACAAAATTCGTTCAATGACAAAATTGTTAAATAATACTTTTCTTTAATTATGATCAGCTAAAAGTAATTTTGATTTCCTACACCACACGAAGACAGAGGATAAATCTTATGACTCTTAATTAACAAATATTTGTGTAAATGTGCAATGGTAAAATTCTTCTTTTTGTCATAATTTGGTGTAACGGTCAAAGTTTGATAAATATTTAAATGTAAATTCAAGTCTCAAAACAGTCACTTTGAACAAATAGTAACAAAAACAATGTATCTATTCTCTTTTTCATTTCCAGTACAAAGATATGAAGCACATAAACTAGATTTTACTGAAAACGACATCTATCGATTTTTGAAAAGGTGACAAATAACTATAATACTAGTAAACCAAATTTATGTGTCAAATTTGCATACTAAAAATTAAACAAAATATATAATATTCATTCATTAATTACAAGCATTCATCATATATATTAGTTAAGAATAAGTAAATAATCCGTCAATTCAATCTCATCCCGTTCAATCCGTGTAAATTGGATCGAATCAAATTAACATGTACTGTTACTAATTGTCTTAATTTTATTGAAACTTCTTTATTGCATGACTCTGAATCATTCTATCCATTCACAATTCTTGTTTTATTTTATTTTATTTTATTTATTCTCAAAAGTTACCTATGCACAATTCAGGAATCTAAAGGGTACAATTTAGTGTCCCCAAATGGACCCCACTGGTAAGGTACTACTGTAGTACGTGGCACGAAGGTAACAAGTCAGTGACGTGTCAACTTCAGGGATTGGAGAGAGAGGACCTTTATATTGGCCATTACTCGGTTGAAAAATGGATCATAATGTAGTCGTGTCTTTGGTACTTGTTAAAAAGACTTACTGAAAAATCTTGAAATCATTACAAAATATATAAAAAAACAAAATGACTTTTATCAATTGGACCACCATTTGCATGTTAGCTCATTAAAAGCCTTTTGTTTTCTAATCCTTTTCTACATATACATAGGTTAAGAACCACCATCATTGTTGTTTTTTTTTATCCCAGTGACAGAACCCCAACTCGGGCTATCTCAAATCACACAACAAGATCAAGTCAGATCACAAAGTATGGGACCCAATCTATCTTGTCTGAATATATAATTGATGTACCGTATTGTTCTTTTCTCATATCTCATTATCTTATATGTGTGTTTACAAAACCAAAGTTTCATGTCACAGTTCAACACCCATTCATTTATTAGAAAAAATGGCACAGTGTGGGGTCAAAGTGTCAAAACAAAACTGCGTTTGGTTGACTCTGTTTAACAAGCAGACATTACAGAATGTTGAATTATAGTTTGAAAAGTAAGAGTAAATAGAAAGAATAGAATTCTCTTTTTTTTTTTTTTTTCTTTTTCTATTCAGGAAACTAATAGGACCCAATGCTTCTTCAAGCTAAAGTAAACAAATATTACAACAAATATGACTGACCCATTCAACAAATTATAAGCTCACCAACCCAAACCTGCAAATCACTTCTTTGCTTATTTCCCAAATCTACAAGCCAAGATAGAGACATTTCTATCATTTCTATATATACTCAATTGGGTCGGGGACCGTCCGGACCCTTGGCGTATCGTGGATCGCCAAATCGAATTCTTGATACCAAATTTCATCCGAGTATCAAGGCTTGTCAACCCACTCATTTTCAGCAGCAATCCTACCCGAGCCACGGGCTCCCATTTTACCAAATGATCCCACTGCTGATAAGCCCTTGAAGCTGCTGCTGCCCTCGCTGAAGTTCTTGGACCTCCTTGACTTTTTTAGCTTTGAGGAGTCGAAGTCGAAATCAGTGGTGTTATCATCAATCTTAATCTTGGCAACCACTAGTTGGGCAATGCTGCTTCGGCAAAATGGGCAGACTGGTGGAGTGAGGCAGGCTGTTGTTGGATTAGGCTTGTTATGGCAGCATAATGCTAGCGTGCATTGTGCACACATCTGGTGGCCACAGTCTTGGACTTCAATTGTGCATACTTGATCAAAGCATATGCAGCATAGCTCTGTGTCACTGGTCTGCATGATCATAATTGGGACATTGTGAGAATATGTTATCTTCTCCAAAATTTTGCAGAAACCATGGCTTTAGACACGAGGTTACTAGCTCTAAACTTATTGGGAAATGGTTAAAATGACCCAAAATAAGTTAAAATTTTGAGGAATCAAAAGAAGAATAAGCAAGAACTGTTTTGTAAAATGTTGGGATTTCTCTTGAATTCAGTTTGAAACAGAATTACCATATTTCTTGTTTTGCTTGGTCAAAACCAGTATTACCTAAACTCATCCCAAATAAACAAATTCATAACCTGAAGCAAGGAATCAATTGAATAAAACACCAAGTAGAGACAATTATACCTTAAGCCACCAAGACAAGACATTTTATACCTTATTGGGGAACCACAGCCAAGGAAATCTTATTAAGCAATACAATAGTTTCGGACAAAAATATCTGCACGATTAGGCCTTTAAGTACTATGCATGAAGATGGCCAGTCCACATCACATGTCATGATAAAAATGTAGTAATTTTGATAGTTTTGGTCAGCTGGGATGTCTAGACCTAAAAGAATTTTTTTGGGTAAGTAATCTAGACCTAAAAGATTATTAATAAAAAGATTTAAAATCTCAAAATATCAACAACATTTTGTTTCAGTTTTGCAATAGCCATATAGTTCCAACTTCGGTGAGGATTTCAAATATTTGGGATTTTCATTTTGTATGATAGACGAAAAATGATTGTAATTTTAAGATTCCAAACCTTGGTAAGAAAGAATCAAGAGCAAATTACCTCAGAAATGTCATCATCAAACCCTGAATTGGAATGTGACGGAGATGGAACCAAGTAAGCTGTCCCCTTCAAGATGTTCTTCTCCCTCTCCTTGTTAGCTTCCATTAGGGCTCTTTCTAACAAAGCTTTGGCCTCTGCATTAAGTTCACTTATGAATTTTAACGGTGATGGCCATACAAGAGGCTCTGCTGATGTAGGATTCAGCAACGCTGCACATGCTCCGTGCTTGTGCTTTTGAGCAACAGTGTATGGCATTCTCCTGCATAGATCCACCAAAAAACCAAAAGATCAATTAAATTCCTTTAAAAAGTATTGTAAACAGAACAGAAATTCAATCACGAGAAAATTTTGATGTTCTGCACCTAATTTAGCTTCAATTTAAATTAAGAACAAAGAAGATATTTTAAGGAGAAAAGAATAATAAAATCGTTTCTCTTTTAAAAGCAAATTAACTTGTATATAGGTACGACATAAAATATTTTGAGGAAAAAAAAATGGTGGCTAACATGACATGATGATCTACTCAGAATAAAGAAAGAACTTCATATTATTTAATCAAGGGCAAAGTAACTAGTAATTAATGAATACAAAACAACTTCCCCAACAAGACGATGCAGATTAATCTAATTTTGTTAGTTAACATAGCATTGAGATCCAAAATTATGAAAAAAGGAGAAATCTTCATGTTCTGCACTTTAACTCATTGTTCAAAATCCAATCAAGAACAAATGAATAATCAATAGCATAAAGGTTCCCCCAAAAAAAAAACACCAAAACTACAAACATAGTTAGCTATATGATTTGGATTTATATATTTTCCAATTTCAAACCCAAGAAGGAAACTGAACAATACCCTGATGAATCTCTTTGAACTCGATCCGCTCCCCATGCCAACAATTCACGAATGCATTCTAGAGAACCCCCTCTAGCAGCCAAGTGAAGTGGAGTGCTTCCTGGGAAGCTGTATGAAAGAAATCGAATCAAATACCAAATCAAGACTACAAAAAATGAAAGAAATAGAAGAATTAGTAGAACTATTACCCATAATTTCCAGTAGAAGCACAAACAAGAGCTCCATTGTCTAATAGGTCATGGACACATTCAGGCCGTCTTTGACGGGCCGCCAAGTGCAGCGGGGTTGCTCCTTTACCATCTCTAATATTTACAAACCGAGCAAATCCCCTGGAACCCAATCCAATCCAGTACACAAAATCACCAATTATGAATTTGCCAAATCAATCTAAAGTGAGAGAGATATGAATCCAACTGATCCAGAGAGAGAAACCTCACCAAGAAGCAGCAACATGAGAAGTTTTAGCAGCAGAGAGAATTGCTTGTAGACAATCGGAATGGCCATAGTAAGCAGCATAGTGCAAACAGGTTCTTCCGTGGAGTGAATCAAACATCAAAATCTGCATCAATTTTTATATTAACCACATCAATTTGATTCACAGTTCATATAGGAATAAGAAATTTAAACAAGCATATATGATACATACAAATACATATGCATATATATTTATATATATATATATATATAGACAGATAGAGAGAGAGTAGACATACATTTGCCCCAGCTTCAATGAACTTCTGCACACAAGAGATCTTACCATGCATTGCAGCCAACATCAGCGGAGTCTAACACCATTCACAATCACACCAATTGAAAGACATTAAGATCAAGTATTACAAAAAAAACACAAAAACATAAGATTCCACATTCTATTTGTTTGCTAGGAATTTGTAGAAAAGTAATTAGAAAATCATTCAAACTTCTATTTTCTCTCTCTGAAATTTTCTCAGTAATCAAATGGGCACCAGAGAAAAGCTCACCTGCTTATGACGATTCAACAAATCCGGATTAACAGATCGATCCAAAAGGAGAGAAACAAGCTGAATCCCCCAGGAAGAAAACAACAAAAACCCAGAAAACCCATCAATCAGAACTCGTCAAAATCGCAGAAAAAATATCAAAATTCGATAGAAAATAAAAAAAATTCACAGAACCCACCTCGATCTGGCCATTAGCAGCCGCTATGTGCAGAGCAGAGTGGCGATCGTACACTGTGGTCTGGTGGATGAGAGTCGGGTCTCTCTCCAACAGAGTGTCGACAGTGTCCAAGTCCCCAAACTGGACAGCTGTGAATAGGCCATGTTCATGGCTAGTTTTGCAACTAAGTCCTTGACCCATTTTCTCTCTTCCTTTCTATATATGTGTGTATATATATCGGTGTGAAAAGTTATAGTCCACCGGAGGAGCTCGACCTTAACCATGCGCCACCATCGCCAGAGGAGGTGGTGGTGGTGGCGGCTTAGATGGTTCAATGGTAGGAGTAAAGTTTAACATTTAATTAGTCTATAAATAGTTAGAGAGAGAGAGAGAGTAAGAGAGAGAAGAGAGAGGGGGGTGTTGGAGAGCGGAGCTGCCCAATGAGTGGTGAGGAGCGGGCAGCTGACCGGTGTCAGGAAGGGGCAGTTACTAAGACTGGCAATCGGGCAACAGTCAGATATTTTCAGGGCAGTTAGATTCCCAAATAATACATTGTTAAACGTGAAGTTCTCACCATAGTCAAAAATAAAATATAAATATAAATAAATAAATAAATAATTCTCACAATAGTCTTATTATTATTACTATATTGCGAATCTTCTGTTCATTGCCGAGTTTTCACGCTCTTTTACTTCATTCAAAGCAAGTCTTACGGTGAGATCTCAGCCGTTGAGATTCATAGCTTCATCCTAGTGACCGTCGGATGAGCTGGATTTTGAGAATTGAAAATGTAAACAAAGGACAATAATTTTATATGTTCAGATACCTTACTTCAGTTAAATTAAATTTCAAAATATATAAGTTGTGTTTATTTTTTTAATTTTTACTTCATTTCTTAATTAAATATAATAATCATAGAGGGAAAATGGTAAAATCAGATAAGGCTAATGGGTTAAAAAATATAAAAAATATCAGGCTAGTGTAATTTTATTTTTTATTTTTTGAAAGAGATTAATGTAATTTTGAATTGATAGGAGAGGTTAGGTTAATCTTTAATAATTATTGTAATAAATTCAGAACGTTGTGTTTGACCATATGAATGTTTTGAACATTTATAGTCTTCTTTAATTTAATGCAGAGTGCCGACTTCTATAATTTGATGCGTATTGTGTAATATAGTAAATATTTTTTCGTAATTTTAATTATTTTCATGACAAATTATAAATTCTTTAAGTGAACTAGATAAATAAAAAACAAATTCATTCTAAGTTATCATTCTTGCTATAATTTTATATGCATAAAACAGTAATACAGTATAGTAAATATTGAAATTCTAAAAATATGGTCTGAATCTAAGTCACATAAAGTGAAAGTGAGAGCGAATTCGAGAACGGGAGCGTGAGAGCGGCAAAATTATGTCATAAATAGTGAGAATTTAAGAAAGAGTATGTGCAGAACGTGAGAGTGACATATATTAAGAAGGATTGTGTGACTTAAGTCTGAATACTTCACTTCTTACCATGTATGAATCGAAGAAATTATATTCTTGAATCTCCATCTTTTTTATAAAAAATCAAAATTGAAAGGAGTTGATGGTAGAAAAAAGATTACACCATAATATTATGTAAATTAATATCTAAAACAAAGTGAATTAATAATGAAACATGATTCATGTACCAAACCCTAATAGTTAATCTTTAAAGAGATAGCAAAACATGAGGACACAAAGTAATTTCATTTCTTCTTCTTTTTATTTAAAGATAACTTTTTAAAATAAAATTGAAATATACTCTGCTCTAAGTCAGTTTTAAATTTGTTTTTTGAAATACTCAGTAAAACACATCAAAGCACACCTAAAACGTGAACAAAATAAATTCTAAGGCAATTAATTTGATAAGTGAAAAGAATCAAATATTTAATACAGGTTGAAGCAAGTTTAGGATCAAGTTAATGACAAGTTATTTCTTGAAGATACAAGACACAAAGTTTAAGACAATCTCTCTATATTATGGTTCGATGTATCGTCTGATACACGATACTTTTTCAAGTTCGATACGTAATTCATATTAGCGAATTTACACTGGCTTTGTCCGAGTCCGTTACACCGAGATCGATACCGCGAACGTGACCGATACTACAAACCATGCTCTATATATACACTCTCTCTCTATAATTTTCTAATATGTCTCCCTCTTCTTCTATATGTATCTTCTCCCTCTAGAATAGTTGTAGATTTGCAGTTTCTCTCAATCGCTGAAATTGATCCTTCACCTCAGTCATCACGGGAACCTCCACAACCACCAATGTCATCATAGCTTCTTTCTCCTAGTGGTTCTTCAAGCCAATGTTATAATTTTGGAGGCTAATTTTGGCATTATGAAAACATCACCAACCCACTTTCCTTTCCCTCCAATTCTTTATTTTCTCTTCAAATCCTCCTATCCAAGCACAACATTCCTTGTCATTTCAATTCTTTCCCTATCCCCCAAATCCTCCCATCCAAACTAGGCATGAAGGTTAGTGTAATTTTTCACTACATAGGGGAGATCTTTGTAATTCCATTTAACTAGAGGCAATATTGGTGCAATTTAATTTTTTTGGTCCGCCCTTCTCTACCTACGATGACTACTAAATTGAGATGTGATATATATTATAAAACGTGTTAAAAGCAAATAAAACCATAGGTCATTAAAAAATCCCCATTTTTACAAAATTGAATTTGTCAACCCTACACAATAGGTGTAATTCAATTGAACACGGTGTTTGAATAGGTTTTACGTGTAGTTTTTCCATTAAGAATAATCAAATAGTTTAAAATAATTTAAAATTATAGTCATGATTTGGAGTTGGAACTTTCGAAGAATCAACGAGAAAACAAAGTTTAGGACTCACCGCTATTTATTTCCACTGTTTAGAATTCAACTTTGAGGTTCAAATCCCATCTTTCGCGTTCGAAATTTGAGCAACAAATAAATTATTCTTAAAATTATTTGTTGGGGCAATTCGAAGATAACATGAAGATTTCTTTTTGCAAACTTGAAACTAACGAACATTCTTGTGGAATAGTCAAGTTCATAGTCCGTTCATTTCCATATATATATATATATTAATTATGTGCTCCTCTTGCTTTATATATATAATTTGCATATACCATACAACTTGACATTGTCACTAGTAATTATTTTTTCCAAAAACGACGAAGTACAAATTTTGTTTACACCATCCAACAATAATAGTTTGATCTTTGTAGTTTCATTTAATTTAGAGGGATGTTAGTATCATTTTTTCTAAATATATGTTTTTTTTTTGTTTTTTTTTAATACTATTAATTTGGCCACAAAAGTAAATTTTCTGGTCCGGCCTTCTCTTCCTATGATCATTATTAAATTGAGACCTGATATATTATAGAACACATTGTAAAAGAATCCAAATTTGAATTGTCTAACTTACATAATAGGAGTAAATTCAATAAAACACGACATTTGAGTAGGTTTTACTTAAGAATAATAAAAAGAAAAATATGTAATTTAAAGAATTTCAAAATTATAGTTATGATTAGGATTCGAATTCCGAACAATCAACAAAAAACGAAAGTGTGGATTCACAGATTCAATCTTGAGGTCCACACTCTCTATCTTTCATGCTGGAAGTTTGAATATAATTATTTGTTTGAGAAATCAAGATGAGAAGAATATATCTTTTTTCAAACTTGAACTAATGAGCATTCTTGTAGATTAGTCAAGTTCATGGTCAATTCTGGTTCAATTTCCATTTCAATATCAAGATATATATATATGTGAACTAGAATGCAAGAGGAGCACATAATATATATAATTAGTAATAGTTAGTTCACAGAATCACAATGATACCTAGTAATGTAACCATTTTCTGACATCACCCACGTGAGATGAACATAATGTTGAAAAATATATATATATAAGTAGCAAAAGAAGGCATTAATTTATATTTAGAAAGATCAGACTTCCCTTCTATCTATTCTCATGAATCTTAGCATGTGTTTGGTTAATGGCATTGTTCATTTGTTAATTCAAGTGTTACATGACGGTTTCATTTAATTTCAATTGTGAAAGTGAAGTAATGTTGTGTTTAGGGACAAACATGTCGGTCCAACTAATATATATATATCTATATATATATATATAGATTAAATATGTCGGTGCAGATGAGTCTGTGGTTGAACCAACACTCACACATGCACACTTAATCAAAGACGGATTTTATATTAACGAGGTTCAGTTTACTAGGATTACATAATTTGTTATCATTAACAAAGAGAATCAAATAAAATAAATAAATAAAATACTATTGGTATTTGTAGCATTACTCCTATAATAATTAGTGTATAACAAAATTGGAACCACACAACTCCTATAATAACTAGTGTATAATAAAATCGGATACGAATTCTCTTGTTGGGATATCTTTTTTTTGTTCTCTTCAAAATTAATTTGAAGATCAATATTAAGATACTTCATTTGCCACATATTACTTTCCCTCTCTCTCCTCTCAACGACTTTCTCTTTTTCTCTAAATCTTAGATACTAAGACCAAATTTTTCTTTTCAAATTGTAATAAACCTACCTACAACCTACTCGTTCTCTCAAATAGTTAATCTTCTTTGGATATTGCTCCTGATTTTGTATCATCTTTAAAACTAACAATTGAGGTTTTAAGTTTTGCTCAGTTCACTAGAAAATAATCATAAATATATGCTGAGTTTAAAAAAAAAAAAAAAAAAAAAAATCAGAACAAATTAATAAACCAAGAAATCAATCAATGAATCCATTGGGTTTCTTTGAAAATTAATTAAGGTTTTAGATTTGGCACCATTCATTATTATTATTATTGTTTCTGGAATAATAATAATAAGTATTATTATTATTTATATATGTGTGTATATATTACATTTAGCACAAATTGAAGAAGTCGGCGGATTCCGGCAAACAAAATTTGGGTATGAAAGTTATTGAAAAGGAAAGATAAAATTTTGGTCTGGTATATAATATTTAGAGAGAGAAAGAGTGAGGAGAGAGAAAAAGAGGGAGAAAGATGTGGTAAATGACATAATAAAATCTTAATATTAGCCTTCACATTAAGTTTGAACAGAGCAGGAGAGAGGTGTGAGAGAATTAGTATCCAACAAAATTAGTGTTAGAATTGAATAAGAATAACAATACATTCACTAAATTCAAAAAATACCCAATAAAATTAATATAAATAAAGACAGAAACAAAATAATGGTAAGATAGATGTCATGTGAGGAACTTATTATACACTAATTTTTTTCACTTTCATTCAAAGAATGTACCATTCTTTTAAAAATGAAAGTTTTCTGTCGGTAACAAAAATCAATTGAGACATTGCATAACTTTTCTTTGTCGTTGGAGAAGGAATAGGATTCTATACAT